GATCACGGTTGGCGTGTAGTTGTAAAATTTGCATTTTTACTTCCTAAGGGTAAACTTTGGCGGCAATATCTCGGCCTTTATTAAGTCCATGACCTTTTCCATTCCGAGCGTAGCCAGAAGATACAAACGCTGTTTTACACACATTTTGTGACACTTTAATTTTCTCAACGTGAAATTAATATGCCAACACGCAAAAATCATTAGTTATCTGCACCCCGGTTAATAAATAGTATTAAAATATATCTTTCCATTTTCGATCACGATATTTTCTACTTACAAGGCTCACTTAATTTTACATGACGTGTAAACACTTAATAGAGGCCGCACTTGCAGCAAGAACATGCTATAATCCGTTATGATCACGAATTACATATGGCAATTAAATTTTATTTGTTAACTTGTTCGACGGATTGACTTATTTCCATTTTTTTTTTCTAATTAATAGAAACGACATTTTCTCATACATACATATTATTCATGTCTTATTTACGCGTTGCATCTGCATTTCTATAGACATCACAAAAATGCTAAAACGGCAAATTAAAGTCAAGTACCCCTTGGGTAGTTAAGACTCTTCAAACATATAAATCTCTATATAAAACCGTCTTTTTGTTCGTTTGGCGGAGACATATTACTACCACTTAAAACCCCATAATAATGCAATATTCTTGTTAAGTATCATTAATGCAGTACATATTTTTAGGTATAATTCATCTTTCAAAATACGTAAACTCTCCGAATTATACTGAAAACTTAACTGGTTTATACGGAATAAAAAATTATAACAAGCCAAATTAATTGTGAACAATTTCGCTTTACTAATTACGAATTAATTCCATTAAAGAATTTTTTAAAGTAATTGACAATTTCTGTATTTATGCACTTTATTTGTTATTGTCGCCATTTACAAGATAATGATAATCCTGAAGGACGATATGATATATCAGTAAACTAATACAAAATTAAGACTTATGTTGACTTATTCGTAAAATTGAAAGAACTAATTGGTCAATGAAATGGTTGACAACATTTATTCATTGAAAATGTGCCGATAGATTCCTTTTTATAGGTTTTTAACATCTCAAAGCATTGTAATAAAGCTGAAAAAACCTTGAAGTCTAAATGGGGTATTATTGTTTTGCATTATTACTTACTATTGTCGTTTCGCAATAATTAATTAATTTGTGTCAATGTGTTACAGAAAACATCTAAATTATAAAAGTGAACTAACAATATTCCTTTTACGAAATCAATTTGGAAATACGCGATTCAGTCCATGCGGTAAATGAATATTTTACTACCTGATACCTAAATATTTCGAAAATTGAAATTGGCAGTCTGATTTTCAAATTAGATAGATCAAATGTATTACCGGAATATGTTATTGTTGGATCTAAATTATGACAAAAGTTGAAGTATTTGACACAGACACGCTACGAACTGCTCTCCGCATGTAGTCTCGATTAAATCTGATTTAATAATCGATGATGATGTCGAATTAAAATCATTTCAAATTTTGTAGCTACTATATCACGTTCGGCTGCCTTTAATATTTAAATTTTATTGGTAATTAGTTACGGATCCAGTAATGAATACTCTGGCAATAAATATTTGGAAAACAACTATCTAGATTTATCAACGGATTTGCTGTGGGATTTAAAAAATTAAGCAATTTTAACTTAATCAAATAGCAATTATACTTCATTGAAGCGTTGTTCAAATGTTCAAACGCTTGGAATCTATGTTGTGCAATGTAAACTAAAACACACAATTTCCACCGAAACGTATACATTATTTATGTACACAATATCATGAATAAAGTTTAAGCTCATTGTTAAACCGAAATTGTTAGAGCTTAAAGTATATGAAAAGCAAATTTACCCAAGCGATAAAACTGTTTTTGAAGCTTCCATATTCCGCTACAATGCCGACAAAAAACTTTCAGTTAATATTATTTTAATAAACTAATCATTAGCAAACTAAAATTCACCTGCATGATAAATGTTTATAACATCAAATATAAATGCAGACTCTATCAGGTTTTATCACCGTACATAGCTTTAATGAAAACAACATTATTCGGAATTCTTTTGTTAGCGATTTTATATGGAACATAAACTGTGCTAAATAAAAAATACTCCAAATGTCCGTTTCATAGATTGAAATACTTCCATTTCTACATTTTTTTTGTTTCAAAAATGAACACCCTTTCACACTAGTCAAAAAGAAGGAGACCATTATTTTATTTTATTTCTAAGCAGAATCATTCTCGAAAACGTTTTTATGAGTTTTTCCTTTGAATTTTCAAAAACTTTTCGAAGTTATGAACGCCTTTTCACCACTTACAACAAATATATGCTATTATCTAGGTTTTTGCCGGCACTGCTTTTACATGTAGAATATCATAAACTTAATTGCGTAATTATATTTCTTTCGTATTCTGGTTGTCAAAAATAATCCGTGATTTTTCAGTTTTTCCCTGCATTTACTCACCTATTATTACTACTGACTCAACTTTTTAATGATAATATAAACGCTATGTCACAGTGTTCAGTTCTTACGTCTTACCAAGTAATAAAAAGAAATCCAATTAACCCAAGAAGATTATTGAAAAAACCAAATATTTTATACATAAAGTCCAATTTTTACCATTAGGCTGCTACTTTCTAATAAATAAAGTAATAAACATGTTAATGTGTTTCACTCCATCTTGAGGCAATTTCGAATAACCGTAGTCTCAATAAAATGCAGCAATAAAATACAGAGTGTTTCAGAAATAATTTTACAGTTTATCGCACTTATGGAAATAAAATGAGACATAATAAAAGATCTTTTGTAAATCGATATCAAGAATACCCCTATCGATAATTGAACAAGAAATAAGCAGAAATAAATTTAAGATTTCAAAACCTCAGATCATCATTTACCTAAATAAAAAAGGCTTACAAGGCACACGAGACGATCATTCTGCAAATAGTGCAGTTAAGCAAAAAATACATTAAAATATAATACAGAAAGTTATTAGCAAACGACCAAAATACGTTTCAGTTAAAGCTCTTTGGGCTAGACAAAGTTTAGTTGTACTTAATTCACATACCAGACTGCGACGTGAAAGTATAAACTTTTGCTTTCAGCTTTAACAATTACTGCCTAAGTGATCAATTATAAATATGAATAGTCGTCTCGACAAAAAAAGGTTACATTTTCTGAAGTCAACTACAATGCACCTTACTAAGTTTATCGTTTTATCAGGGCATTCAAGGAAAGTGCAAATTACGATAAAATTTTGCCAATAATCTACTACGATATGTCTTCCAAAGAAATGATGTAAATGAACGGTTTATACCAGGTACGTGGCTCGATAGGGGGCGTCACACAATGCCGCAGTATAAATATTACATCAAGCTGTGTTTATCGCAAATATCACAAAATCTCAGTGTGTGCAAGAATAATAAATACTGCCATACAAATAGTTCCCTTGGTATTTAAGTCTTACACAATTATCGCCCAATATAAAGAGTTTATCAAGTTTAATGTTATGGTGGGTGTATAAATTTTCAATTTTGCCACAAGTCTTAAGATGAAATTACTTTCAGATAATCTAAGCATGGATTTTCTTTCATTTAGTATAGATGAAAGCAGTTTTGTCGACTTTCGATTAAATATATAAATTCCCGTGACTACTCCATGATTGATTGTACTTTAATAATTAGGGTGGCTTTAGGGGAGAAAAATTGGAAATATTTACCATTGATATTTTATTGATTGGACTTGGATATACTGTTGCTCAATTTTCCTTAAGAACATCTGCTCAATCCCTATTTACTTATATCTCATTATGTATGTTTTAATGTTTTCCGATGTGAATTATGAATAACAAGGTAGTTAAAATTTTTGTATAGTACGTGCATTGAATGCATAATGGTTGATTCCGAACTTTTCCGCTTCTCCCGATATGTAGATAATTCCGAACACAACATCTTATTTACAAGGTTCTTATATTAAGTAGATGCTATTTGCTTGGTAAATATAGGTATAGCATCCATACAATATGGTGGATTATACAAATTTACAGTATGAGCATTAAATATAATTCTTACACTCAAGAACGCGAAGCTTTATCATAAAAATGTAATAGTTTTATATTTTTAAATATTAAAATATTCCTAAGTTATTCGCGCAACCCCAACTGAAACATGCACGAATAACTTTGCAACATTTATTGAAAAATTGCACGTTAAAATGTTACTGTTGCATAATGTGTTCAATGCATAATTCAGAAATGATTTAGTTTGACACAATAATTTCATTCGACATGGATATCAAAGTAAAAGTAGAGGTGATCGGAAAACAGCATTAATTGGCATTTGATTATAAGCAATTTTAGTTTTAAAATAATAAATATGTTTGCCGATGAAAATGCATGTTCAACCAAAAATTAAGCAATGTAGTAATAAAATTATTAAAAAATTAAGCAATAAATTTGTAGTTTTTTTGTAACTTGGGACGACTGATAAACATCTGAAGCTTTGCCACATACTTGATTCCACACCAATTCAAAATATTTATCTTGAATAAAAGTGTTTTGGGTCAAAATTGTGTTAGTCTCAGGAGTACTAATAGATACGATTTTCGTTTAAGAAACAAATTATTTTGAATGAATTGTTCATCGGTATCCGGTTTTTCCATATTAATGTCCTTGATTTTATAAACATCTGCTTTATTTTCTGACGAATATGTGAAATATTCGTCACAAAATCATAGGTACGCAGTCTGGTAGTTATTATTCTATATTCATTAAATGCCATATGTTAGATTGAATCTTAAAACCATTGGCGATAGCGTCCTACCAGGAGCGAACAAAACCTCTGAAGATGATAGCCCATGATTTTTAAGTATATTTTATGGAAAAATCTTATTTTTTGCCCATGCCAAGGTGTTATTGTGTATATGGACAAAGTGTACTTTTTCTCTGGCGTAAGACTGTATAATGACCGTACCTTTTACTGCAGCAGACACTCTATCCAAATTATACAAAGTAACAGGAACAGGCTCGATTTCCAAAAAGATGTCAGCATCTTTGGAATGTTTTAACCTGCGACCGATAAAAATTGCAGTAAATTTGGGTCTTATAGGTTGTCGACACTTAACACCTTCACCCTCGTTTAGCGTTTTTATGATTCGCACTTCCTTTGTCTTTGGATATCTGAGAGCATTTTTAAAATATCGCCTCACTGCCACACTAAATATGATTAAATTATCTTGATAATAAATGTAATCATTCGTAACTTTTCCGGTGAAAACAAAATCAGACCTAGAAACTTCTTTCTCGAACTTGTCTGTAGTTTCCAGTATTTGATCATTAAATCTACATCGCGGTAAATAAATATGATTCCCATAAAAATTGCGTGAAACATTAGCAAAAGCGCCGGCCGCAAAAAGCAGGAAAAGTAACAGAGATTTAAATCGGAACATTTCGGCGGCCAACACGTGGGTGTCTCTCTCCAAGTCTATTGCCGTGAAAGAAGTAACCGCGTGGAATAACACCGTTTGACTGTTCGGCTCTAGTGTTGAAGTTCTTACCGCAGCTCCTCCTGTGGTATAACATCTTTGAATTTTCTTTAGCACTCGGATCTCATTGGCCACTATGACCACTGCCCACACACTCTGATTTGAAGGCGCAATTAAATCCGATATTCTCATTATTTTAATTTTAACCGTATATCAAACCATTGCATATGTATTCTGCTCAGTCTTATGCGCATTGTTTTTTCTCGCTTTCCAACAAACAACATATTGCAATCGAAATATCTGTAGGTGCAGCTTTTCTAGATATATATCCATAAAACAACCATCATGGACAAGTTTGAAAACAACACTACACTACATACATAACTTTGAAAGTTAGCAGCAAACTTGGAAAGTTTTTCTTGTTGTTGGTCACTTTTTCAGTTTAAATGGAATAATTTTTAGGTGTTCAGGCAAGTTCTGATGGATAATTAGAACTAAATGATTAACGATATACACACTGGACAAGCGACAAAACTACGAAATCGTTTAGTCGGGAAGTAGTTTTGTAATAATTTATCGAATTTTCAAGGAAAATTTTAAACTTTTAATAACAAATACGTGTTCTTAAATGCAACTTCCAATACTTAATTGAATTTACATTTCAGTACTTCTGGAATTAGTTTAATTTGGGAATAGCGAACCAAGTTAATGTCACTTCATTCATCAAATCTTAATTTTACAAACATCACACTCTTGAAATCAATTGGAAATGGACAAAGATTTTTTTTTAATCTTATAGAAACATTTTGTTCAATAAATTTCATTTCGTTTCAGTCCTTGCATATAAAATATATCCCCGACTTTTATTAGTTATAATAATATGTCATTTTAACAGATCTTGCGGACTTAAGTGTAATGATACTGATCAATACTTCATAGCTCAAATTAAACTGATAGTGGCCTTACAAAATCACCCATGGGTGTACCAATATTTACATTTAATGATAGTCGATGGCGCTAATGACATTTGTATGAAATAAAATGCGTAGGATATGTATTGGAAATAGATACGTACACTCTTTCATGCTGTTGCTTCATACATTATATGAAACAATACACAAATAACGATAAAAGATTTTCAGTTGACTAGCAGATAATAGTCAATTATGTTTAATATGTATCTTCACGCATTATTTTATGCATATGCGTATTTTATTTTTCAATAAGCTATTTATATCTTTTAAATTTGAATGTCTGTATGACGTCCTGTATTTGTTGTTTATCATTGCATTGTTTTTGATATACAAGACCCAGTAGACACAGAAAATTTCATCGTTCTAATTGTATTAAGTTCTCGTTAGTTTTTACCGGTTTAAAGATAAATCTACGATTAGATGTAATACTTTTCGCGTCAGTTAATTTTCAAGTAGAGTGACAGCTTCAAAAATGTATTGAATTATCGGCATATAGCATGCATGAAGCATGTGAAAAATTGTTCAATTATATTGGAATTCTCAGGAATTTTCAATAATCAAATGGCATTAATTAAAATCGTCTCCGGATTACGATATCACAGATAAAACTAGTTAACAAAAATTCGGCAGTCGGTGTATAATTCTCAGGAGAATATAAATCATATAGGAGGCAGTAAATTTAAGTATGACACCTAAATACCTTTTGGCATCGAAACCTAAAATATAAATAGCTTCCTGTTTTATATCCTAAATCATAATAATCGTCTTAATTAAAATGGTTTCTAAATGTCTATAATTAAGACATTTTTACATGTGCTTCACCAATTTTGAACCAAACCCATGATTTATTCTTACGAATGTCTAATAATAGGATGAATATTACATTTCCAACGTACGAAAATTAAATTGTGACTGGACATTCTAATAAAACTGTCCTGTAACTGAAACATATTGGCATATATAGAATGGATCACACTTCGGCGTTCACTTATTTATGTATATCTCAAATTTTAACAGGCTACTGTTGAATTTCAGTTGACAAAATAAATTCGTTATAGCAACCCTTGTCATAGTTATGGATCAGAGCTCGATCAATGCTTGAGTGTTGATATATTCTTTGTTATGCTACTGCGTTTTTGTACAAGCGTTTAGGCAAGCAAATTGAGACTATATTTTAAATCAAAATATTACAGGCGATTGCATGCTATGGATCTCACCAAATGGATCTCACCATGGTAGTTTAGTATTATATATATATATATTTATTTTGTATCATAATTTCAGCTGCTTTTTACCATTTTGCATACTGTGAAACATTTCATAAATATGGCACTATTCAAATGTTCAATTGCTATTGTTGCAAGTTGGCTGAGTCAACCAATAAAATATTATAAACCATGCTTCTACGATAATTGCATATTGAAACGAAATATTAAATTTCCAAGTTAACAAATACCGTCGTTATGTATGCAAATTTATCTGCAATTAAATGAAGACGTCAGAAACTTAAGATGGTAATGACGTTAGATGATACTTTAAATTTACCTATTCCAACCTCTCAGCCGAATGCACTTAGACATAAACTATAACCATTTTCTTATTGTTCCTTGTAATATTTCACAAAGAGTGTGTCATTCATATGCGGAACTTTACTGTAATACGCCTTTAACAATGTCAAATAACAATTTCACAGCTGCTACGAAAATGTATTAACCATTATTGTATAAAGAGGTAGTCAAGTAAAATTTGCTGCACTGAATTTTCTAAAATAAATCCGCCCAAGTAATAGCATGTCTTTCCATCAGCCACACCTTGCTGAACACACATTTCAAGTAAGTTTTAAATAATAGAGAACCCGCATAAAACGGATTATAAAATATGTCAAACCTATGTTGATGATATTTGAAAATACTGGTTTTGTTTTCTTTATCTTCCATTATTGTGTCCATGTTCCATATGTCAGATGAATTTATATTTGCAAAGATACAGCAATGTTAACTATAAATTATGTGTCAAATCCGAAACAGAATTAGGCCTTGTTGTATTGTACTAGGTGGCAATTTATAGTTGTTTTTCAGATTGAAATTATCATCCAAACTGCGTCAAGATCCATTTTGGGCTATGAAAATACTTGATTTATAAAAATTTCAAGAAACCACTTTAAAACTAATGGAACTTGTTGTTATAATTTCAGAACAACCAATTTCAATTCTGAAACTGGCTAGTTCTTCGGGTTTTTAGGTTGACGTGGAAAATAATTACTTCTCGACGTTTCGCAAGCAAGTGCCTTTCATCTTCAAAGGTGGTTTGCTCGGCGCACCACACAAGATAGTCGCGAAAGCCTAACGCAATTAAAATTTTGTTAGCCAAAAAGGTCTTTTACAATACAGAGTGCGAAGAAGAAGTATTTTCGAATTCGGTTTTGAAGAAATTAAAGGCTAAAGACAAAACATTTTATAGTAACCGCAACTCGGATAGATTGTAACAGGCGGAAAAATTGTAAAAACGAAATTACATGCAACTAAAGCACGAATGAAAATTATTACACCTAATTTTCGATATAAATTTAGATACCGCTGTTACTGTGCAAATTTGAACTTTGAATTTAATTAGCGCTCAACTGTTGCTAGTTTGTATATCCGTTTGCTAAAAAGCATATGAATTATTATTTGTCAAGGCGCTTACAATATAACAAAATAATAACTGCATTGCTTAAAAATTCGAAATGAATCCAATAACTGTAAACATTTTATTATCTTTGCATAATTCCGAAACGTGGGAATAACATAACAGCCAACATAGTTACTAAAATCCAAATATGGAAAAGTTATGGCGCTTCATGAATTAATAATATTTGAACCACTAAATTTGCTTTACTATTGTATGATTTAATTTACTGCATTGAAAACTTCCGATAATGACTTGTTATGAAATATTTTATTGTTGTCAATACCGGTTGGTTTCTCCTAAGATTATAGAGTTCGTGTACCTTTCGAGGTGAACAAAATACCTGCTTTAGAAATATAATTAACCAAAATCCGCGGCAGTTCCTAATTAAATAAAATGAAGACATATCTTTCAGACCTTATTTAAAGGTAGGAGGGCAAGATTAATGAGTTAGGTGGAGTACCAAACTAAAGCTGTTCCAAAAAAGATGTTATATTTTACTCGGTTGACGATGGTGATAGATGATAATGAAATCAACATATTTATGTATACGCGCTTATCTTTGGTCGCTTTCGGTGTTCAACATTGTTGAGTTCTTAGTTCTACCAGAATTAATATTGTTGCTGTCACAAATTTACATAGCATTATATCTATGAATGGATTACACTATGCCGAGAGATTGTCAAAGCTCTTCCTAATTCTTATTGTGTGCAATTCATTTCGCACTAGGAAAATAACGTTTACACATTTATAAAATATGAACTGAGACATTAATCAGGCACATCCTAATTCAGTGTAATTTATCATGAAATTTTTCATTAGCAAAGATGTAACTGGAACTCAGTCCTATTCTAACAATGATTTAATTGACTTTTAAGCTCATATTTACATATAAATATCAGTTATTTGTCAGTAATTTTACATAGTGAGTTAATAGGTTACAATATGAATCGAGTGCGACAATTTATCGCCATTTCAAATAATTAAATAATTATTTTCCTCGATAGTTAATTTCGGAAAACAAATTAGTTTAATAAATTTTAATTTTTAAAATATGCAACTCCAAAAAATAATTCACCGACCTGAATGATGACCGAATATCATTCGTTCATTTCATCAATCATAATTTGTATTGGGTTTTCACAAAACCAAAACGATAAAGAGAGATGAATTTTTAGTTTGGGGCTTAATATCATTAAAAGATATTGCAGATTATCGATATCAAATTACACCCGTTCACACTTTACGATCAGGCCAGGGTTTATATAGTTTTATATTGTTTTAACGAGGATAAATGCTATTAAAGTATGAGTAAATTATTAATTATTTGCCCAGTACATCTATCGCTGACCATAAATTAAATCATAATATAAGCCAGCCTTTCAACTTATTACAACCTCACTACTTTTAATTAGATAGGTATAATACATTTATATTCGTAATGTATTTCCAATGATAATAACTGCATGGACCAACTGATCTTCAGGTATACCTATACCGGTTCGTGTTCATTAAACAAGACTTACTAACTTTACATCATTTAGTAAGAAA